ATAACTTTCTTAGAATAACAATTAAAACACTCCAAGCATGTACAAAAAGCACGGAATCTAAAATTTTGTTGATAGATCGTTTTGATATCAGAAGACATCTGAGAAAAATTATAATTTGCAGATTTCCGATCTTTCCAACACATGACTTCTTTCCGTTTTTTTGCATTCCCACATTCTCAACTATAGACGTTTTTAAAAAAAAAATGTCAAATTTAAATTTGATAATTTATTAAATGGTAGCTTAGAACGTCACAATGTAAGTATCGATGTCTTTACAAAGATGGTGAAAAAAATTTCAAGAGCGGTAAATGGATTAAAATGGAAAAAAATGCAAAATATTTCGAAAGTTGCGATTTCATCGAAACACACTGCATGGAGGGAAATGCAACAACCTTTCGTTACATTCATGTTCAGGTTCTTTTTAGTTCGATTACGGTTTATCGTTTTTTGTTTTTAATTATTTCTATTAAACCTTTTCAAAATGAAGGGAAAAATGAAAAAAATGTAAGAGAGTTGCATAAGGCGCATGCAAATTACACTTCTCGCTTTCAATTTTATAATTATTAATTTTCCATTATGCTATTAGCATTTATTACTGAGAATAATCCGGTTGATAATTTCATCTGATATGGTAAACTGTTTTACAAATGTGGTGAACTGATTTTTCTTTTAGGTAATGCGATCGCCACAGAAGATATTCCAGAAGGAGGACAATTTCCATCCCGGGGTACTCATCTTTGTTCTCGATTCTACCTCGTTCTCGTCCGGAATGCGTACGATTGTGAAAACTAACCAAGTAATTTTTCAAATGGATTTTTATTTCTCTTTACTATTAATTATTTCACTTATGGCTACCAAATAATTTTATGATAATTTCTGTATTCATTAAAATATAATGTTGTTTTTTGCAAATTTACGCAAAGCTGCAACTCAACATTCGCTACATAACTTCTATTGGAAAGCAATAAATATATCATATCAAATATCAAATTTTGAAAGCAATAAATCCAAGCTCTCTTGAACTTCAGGTGTTACGGTCATTAATGGGGTCTTTTGATAATTTCTTAAGTATTTTTTATAAATAAGTGCAATAAAACAGCAAAAAGTTAAAATAATTTCTCCTCGGGAATTTAAGCTATAATATGAATTAAGAAAAAGAGAGGTTAATGAAGTATACTTCATTTGTTAAAAAATTTGAAAGAAGCGTTATGAAAGGATTTATATGAAAATGTTATAATTCTAAGATTCTGCGTCAATTTTACGATGCGACGACATTTTATTATCACAACAAAATTGGCCGTAACAGTCGACCAAATGCTTTCGCTATTTTTTCAGGTCGTTGTTTTGCTTGCATTTCATTTTATTGATAAGCTTAGAATTTGTTTCTTTTAGTTCTGTTAAATTAATTGGTTTATTGCTTATTTGATTCTTTTTGCATCATTTATTATCAAATTCAACTTTATAATTACCATTAAAATAAGAAATAATATTTGTATATTTAAGCATATCAAAAGTTTGGCAAAATCAAATTTCATTTCACACTTCGTTACAGGAATTCGTATCGCTGAGTTAGATGCGAATCGTTTTCCAGGTAAAAATAATTCGGAATATCCACAATCCTGTAAAGTAAGCTATATTATATATTTAATCTAATCTATTAAATTGATAATTTAAAAAATGCCACGAGTGAAGTATATCAGTGATTATATTTGATAGATAATGATTATCAGTATGCCGTGATACAATAATTATGAAAAGATGAACTTTTCATTATGCTTTTAGAAGATCAAAAGATGCCCTCATCAAACATTTGTTTTATTATAATATGGATTGCAAATTAGCGAACTTACAAAATTCGTAATTAGTTTGCAACGTCTTTACTTCAAATGCTAATTTATTAGCTTAAAAATATTATAATAGATGGAAATTTTAGTATGGTGTTAAAATGAACGAAACGGTAATTTATAATTTTATCAATCAAAGTTATGCATCGATAATGGTGGAAGATTGGCCGAGTATGTTCATTTGGCCAAACTGTAATGGTTTTCCCAAGGCTCCAACCGATCATTATGGAAGGTAATTTAGCGAGAATTTGGAACTTTAATTAAATTTAAATTTAATCAATCATAAGTTATTACTTATTTTATGCTTAAATTGGAACTTTCAATCCTTTTAGATTTCAAAAATGAGAAGTACCAAGCGTTTACTTTTTTACCTTTTTTATTTATTATTAATTGCTTCAATTAAAAGATTCTGAGCCAAAAGTGGTAGTGCAATTTCTATTCGATATATTCAATAGTGTTTGAATGATCAGTAGGAGCTATCTTTATATCGATTTATGCATTTTTTTAAATTATAAAATAGCCGCGTAAATTGTTTAAAGTAAACATTAATAAAAATAACATCAATTATCTGATAATAAATATAGTAAAAATTGTAATTTCTTCCTTTGAAGTGCTTTGGTGCTTCGGCCAAAGGCTAAAAAGGATTTCAATGCCTATTTTTACAAAGGAGAATGCCATGAAGTCTATCATAAAGTTCTGGATTTTGTGGATAAGTTTTTAAACGAATATAAGGGATTCTCGAAATTTGCTTTAATATGGTTATCACAGCTAGCTCATGATTCTGTCAATGGATTATATCGAGCTGATAAGGTTGGGAAATTAGCATTAGAAGTAGGCTTTACTATCAGTGAAGAAAGCAAAATAAATTAAAAAATTTTTGCTTGTCATAAAGCCATCTTAATGCTTTATAATTTTTCCAGCATTTTGCCAACTTTTTTCACAAAAATGTTGAGAATTTGAAGAATTCTTTCTTATTTGTGCTGGGTGATCATGGATTACGATTTGGTGGAATTCGAAGAACTAATACTGGATATAATGAAGATAATAATCCATTACTCATGGCAAGAGTTTATTCTTTTGATAAACTATAATGACGACTGATTGCTTTTTCATATCTTCATATCTTCGATTGATACTGATTTTATAATTATTTCTGAACTGATATCGATTTTATAGCTATTCCTGAACTGGTATTGATTTCACTATTATATCTTAAAACATTTCGTTATCGATTGTCATATATTGTATAAACCGAGACCTTCCACCCGTGATTGGATAATGTGTTTTTTTGTAATCTCCCTCCCATTTCAGGTAGCGGTACCAGAATATTTACGCTCAAATGAGCAGCTTATTTTGAATTTAAAAAAGAATTCTCGGAAACACACATCCCAATATGACATTTACGCAACACTTTATGATATAGCACAATATGCAAGGAAAAAAAGTTTCCAGAAATGGGATGAACACGATTTCAGGTTTGTCGTTGCTATTTCAAATTATTCTGACTTTGGTGTTTTTTTTAATGTATAATGGAAGAATGTGCACATTAATTTTTTGGATGTTTGGGTCCAAAATCATCGAATTAATCTATCAGTGAAATTTTACTTGGAAATTATAGTCCTTACTATCTCACCGATTCACATACTTATCTTTACTGTTCTTTTTATGAAATTCGCCGATTACACTTAGATGTTAAATAACTCTCGAAGATCCTGAGTGTTAGTTATTATAGCTAATTTGGGAGATTTAAAACTGTGCTTTTAAAAGGTTTATTTTCATTGCAGCAAGGAATTTGGCAAAATAAGGGGTGGAATCCGAGCAAAGAGTCTTTTAAGGCCCATTCGATATGATAGGTCAGTACATTGAATGGATTAGAATAAATCGGCTTTTGATTTGCTATGAAATTTTTTGTCCATTTTATAGGACATGCGAAGAAATGGAAATTCCAGATCAGTACTGCATTTGCAAAAAACAATGGTATAAGATGGATATTCATAATGAGAATGTCACAAAAGCTGCGCAATTCATTATCAATAAAATTAATGATTACTTGAAAGAGAAAAGTACGGATGAAAAATGCGAAACACTTCATCTAAAAGAAGTGATAAATTTAATTTAAACATTTAGTAAATCAAACTACCAGTTGAATAAATGTTGAGAGGTCAGAAAGTTGTGAAATGAACCTTTGTGATCAATTTAAAAAAATCTTCACCGCAATTGCAATATATCATTCAAAAATCCAATTTTCTTTTTTTAACAAATAGAAATTCTCGATGATCGTATAATTTCTAAAAGTCAAGGGGAAATTTTTTCAACTAAAGAGACTGAAGCATTCATTTTCAAGGTGATTTCGGCAGAATACATCGAAGAACAATCGTTGTTGAAAATAGTAATTAGCGCATCACCAAGTGAAGGGAAGTATGAGGCGCAAGTGTTGCAGAAGAATGATAATTTCGAAATGTCTGCAAAAGTTACTTTTTATTCTTTCCTTTTCATTTTATTTAACTAATTAATACATGAACTGTTCAACTTTGATTGTTTCAGTTTTTGTCAAATTCAGATCATTCGAGTGAATAGCTACAAGAATCAAAGCAACTGTGTGGAGAATGAAGACATTCGTCCATTGTGTTACTGTCGACAATGACTGACAAGAATAAAAATAAACTGATCCTATTTATGCTAAAATTTTAATGGGCGATATTAAAATAGTTTGCATTGCCTTCCATCGGTATTAGTTGAAAAAACTATAATTGTAAGAATCATTTTAACACATGGAGCATAAATCGCAACATTTTAAAATTTGAGATACATTTTAAAATATCCAAAATACTTAAAGAATACGCCTAAAAAAGAATCATCATTCTTCAAAGGATAAATAAGAATTTTGCTTAAATCTTTTTGCTGGAAATGAAAGGATTAGCTTTCAAGATTGTTATAGCAGTTTCTAGAAAGAAGGCATCTGCTTGTATTCTGGATTAGTATTATTTCTTATGATTTACTAATTAGTATTCGCTAATGACAACTTAATCCTCTTCTGCCCATTTAATACACTCAATCACTTCAAAGAACGACGAAAGTTTCTCAGCATGACTGTCACAAATTTTCATCAGTAATCAGTTTCTTTTAAATCAAAAAGAATTGGATCATTCATTATAACTTTGTGTTGTCGTAACCGTAACAATTATATATGTTATTGTTTGCAATGTTTTTTCTACCGAGGAAAAAATAGTGTTTTGTAGCATTCTTGTTAAATTCGAATTTAATTTCCAAATATTAAAAAGTATTCGCAAATAGACGACTGAGAAGAAACGACAAAATGTCGCAACCCTATCTCAACGTGAATTTATTTGACGACGAACCAGTGTGAGACGTTGAGTTTCATTTGCCGGTTCTGTGAGAATCGGCCATTTCCAGGAAGGTGGGTTTTGTCGGGGTCTCTTGAGGTTGCCGTACTATCGGCTGGGCGGTCTATTCAGATATTCCCGTTGGCAGGGTTCCATAAAGTATTTGGGCTATTGAGAAAAAACTGTCGAGAAATGTGAGCAACTGCTGAAATTCGAGTTAGTGTAGATCAGTGGGTCGAGTTAGCTACATTGAAGATTTCATTTTCAGGTTTTCTATATAAGACAACTCATTGGCGGTGATGATCTGTTTTTGATGCCAGTTGAGGTGTTGGATACAGTGGCAGAGAATGAAAGACGGATAGCCGATGAAGTGGACGACAAATCAGAAGAAGAAAATGGCGCCGATGATCTGAAATGTCTTGATTGGCTTGTTAATTACAGATTACCTGGTAGTTGCTTATTATATTATAGACATGTTTTGAAAAATTTTTATTGGATAGAGGCTGATTTTGCTTTGTAGTACTAAATCTCTTTTAACATTCTATTATGTCCCAAGTATATGGTAAAGATCTTGTTTCTGCAGTCATGATTGGCTTGCTGAGCCTTTCTACAGCCCCATTGATTATTTTAGGCAGTGAGACTACTGCTAGGAAGAAAAGATAAATTGACAGTGCAGTTTCATTATTTCACTTTTTTATTCCCTTATTGCTTTAGTTATTAATTATGTTGCTTGTTGCTTTAGTGATTTAGTTTAAATTTTAGTTTTCTTTACTATTATCATGCATAAATCACTTGAGCTTGTTGGATGCAGTGATTTATTGAGATAACGGTGAGAATTTAGAATACTTTGCTGCTTTGGATGATTCCTTTCATCACTTCACTGAGAAGAATCTATTTCGCAATTCCAACGATGAATCTGTCTCTGAAGATATTATGTATTGCGAAGATAAAGATTATGTTGCAGAAGAACAAATGAGTTGCGATACTTCGACAGGTATAATAAATTTTGAAAATTTTCATGCATTCATTATTACTGAAACTGAGTCTGCAAAATTCTAAAAAATTTACGAAGTTTATAAACTTTATATTTTGGAAATTCACGAATCTTGGCTGAGTGTTATGAATTTCAAGTAAACGGATCATTCATTCTTTTATGTTTATAGAGAAATGTTTGGCCAAGAAGTGCTCGCTGTTGTGTTGGATATACCGAGTATTGGCCACATCACCAGAACGCCAACTTTCCCTAAACGATATATATCATCGCTTTCTTGTTCTAGTATGCACATAATTTTGCAGGGTAATAAGTATGGAAGATACTGACTGAGTATAGTTTTTTAAAAATATTCTAAAGATACGAAAATATCAACGAATTACGTCGTTACTTTCATATCTAGAATTGTAAAGACAGAGTTGAGACTTGAGGGTGTTTGAAAATAGACATTTCTTGCAATCTGACTTTCTAAGGGAAACCATTCTGTGCAGATGACTTCAGAAATTTTTGCAGAATTCTGATTGGGGAAAGCTGTCACCAAACTGGAAATTTTCCGTTGGAGAAACACTACTTAATTCGAAGTGCTTTATGTATAAGGTTGGTTATCTAAATAGATAAAATTCAAAAGAATATGAATTTCTTTGCAATTTTTTTCGTGCTATTTGAAGGGTGAGAAGGGAGAGTTTGATTTGATTTCAACTAAATATCTTAAACCGCAGCGTTAGTTTTCAGATAATACCAGCTCTTGAAGAAATTTACAAATATTATAATAATGGTTAAATCAGTTTTATGTTCAAATTAACAGAATTTGAAAATTTGATGTGAAAGAAATTTAATTTACAAGTTCTTGGTTCATTTTTCAGCATTCTCTATGGTCAATTAATGCTGATTTTGCATTAAAACATGAACGGGATGCACTTGCTCATGGGCTTTCGCATCGCTGTCCACCCTCAACATGTGCAGCTGTTGATAGTTCTAGTAAAAGTTTGGAATTCAAATTTTTATCGAACTATTGGAACTTAAATTAATCTCTTGGTTTCCTCTACGATGTATTGGAATTTTTACATAAAATTTTTTAAAGTATTTATTCAAAGCTGTTAAAAATGTTTATTTCATTTTTGTTCCATAGCACTGTCATTTTAGATTTTCCAGTGATATGCTGAGGAATTTTCAACCATAGAAGTTGAGAGATAAAGCTCCGAAACGCGATTAATGATTGCTTAGCAGTTTAAAGGAATAAAATTCCAAAAACTGGCTGCCAATGTCAGGATGCCTTGTTGTTGTGCACAGAACACGTTGTTTTTGATGTAAATTTTTCAATCATAATTTCTCCTTCATAAACTTTTAATGATGTAGTTTATGGGAACTTAAAAACTTTTTATTCAGTGATTTTTGTTGTACTGCAACAAAAATCACTGAATAAAAAGTTTTTCTAGGATGTGCAAGAAACTTTTGACTTTCTTCTACTTTACTTTTATTGCTGTGTACTACTTTAGATGATCATAGTTTTTGTGATTGACTTTCTGGTCTTCGTGGAATTTACTGTTGGTTATAAATACAATTGGTGTTTCCTTTCAGATTCCATGAAAACTTGTCAAATGTTCCTTTGTCGAGCATCTTGGACAGTCATTTATGTTGAATGACTTCCCATCATTTTATTTTATATTCGCTTCTTATTACCCTTATGCTTTCTATCTGTAATTTCGTATATTTTGCAGTCCATAATTCTGCTTTTCAGTTTATTTTCGAATAAACCATTTTTGAATTTCGAAATCAGAGGCATAAGTCGTTAGTTAACTACTGTATGTTATCTGTACTTTGAATAAGGCGGAAACCAAGACTATTAGGGTTTGAAATAAGTCAAAAAACGAGTAGGATTTGACAGTTCATTAAAATTTGCACTGTAGCGCATGCTCTATATTCATTTACTCTTTTAACTCTTTTAGCTCACCACTTACTATATCTTACCTTTCCATTTTTCACATTCTTACCTACCTTGCCTTTTTTACCGTATCTTGCCTTTCCACATTTTTTCCTGAACATCTATTCGTAATTGAAAGTTACAAAGAGTGGAATTAATAATAGGTATTAAGGGTGCAATTTTTATCATTAAGCAACAAAAACATACCAATTAAATATGTAAAGTGCTCAAAATTGAGGAAATTGCCAAAAAATTTGCTGCTGAAATGTTCTGGAAAAAAGATAATTGGTTTGATATAAAGAAGGTTTGTGGAAAGAGTGTAGAAATAATATTTCAGGTTTTGCATATTGTTGAAAACTTAGTTATCGTTCAATTTGAAAAGAAAAATGCCTTTTTTGTGATAAAATTTATGATGAAAAAAAAATGTCGGACGGATAATTATTGTTTATGCAAACGAATAGTCCATCGTATCAATAAGCGAAATTATTCCGAGAAGCTGATAAGAATTATTAATTAATTACAGAATCTCTGAGAGTATTTTTAGCTGTTATAAATTATGTTGATATAGAATTCAACAAACATAATAATTTATGTATGGTAAAAAGTACTCACAATGAATTACATAGGACACATATGCAAGAATTTGCAGGAAAAATACTGTTAAAATAAAATTGATTTCAATTTTTAGTATTTTTAATTTTGGCACATTTTGGCACAATTTGACTTAAAACAAAATTTTGCTTAAAAGATTTTTTTCAGGATAGTGAAGATTTGTTGTCAATTTCAATATGATTTACCATAATTTTGTACTTTGTTAACTGTTCGAGAAAGTTTTTAAATCTAAAAGTAATTTTCAATTTTTCGATTTGAGAATTAATCACGAATACGATGGACAATATATAACAATTGCTGGAAATGCTAAAATTGAGGCAGAAATGAATAAAAATGAAAAAACGAAATAATTCATAATTCTATAAGTTATTTTCAGTTCGCTCGGAAAAATCCTCACTACTGATTATCCTAAAATTTCCCAATATTTTTTGCTTTCCCTATCAAATTATCAATTAAAAATTATCAATTATTTGATTTGAATTAAATAAAGTTGGACTGATTAAACCGTACATGCTAAGAATTTAGTTTTGGTCAGTTATTTTAGTTGTTAATTCGATTTTATTTATATTATTTGAAAAGATAAAACTTGTTGAAAATTTCTAACTACTCTTATTTAAACATACACTAAGGAACAGATGTGATTTCAAGTTAAAGAAACTGGTTTATTTTTCATTGTTTTTCGAAATCAACGAGAAGAAAAATGTGAACTGGTCTACAACGCTCTTCTAAACTCATTTCTCGAACTGATTTTATTTCAAGAAGTTTTTTGATTTCTTTTTCTTTTTAGTTCTCTCATTTGTGATCATTTCATGATTGATAGATATTGCTATCAATTACCTATTTTAGTGATATAATCCTTTCGATAATTTCAATCAGCAATAAATAATTTTCATAACAAATTGAAGTATTAAATGTTAGTATAGGATGAATTAATTGGACAAGTGCATATGTAAATAATACCATAATACATTATTAGTTCCATTGAATGCAAATAATTTTCAAACTTTATTGGAGATAAATTTAAATATTGCTTAATTAATACGTTTATTTTTAAAATTTTCACAATAAGTAGAAATTTTATTGGAATAAAAGATATTTTTTATGGTGGTAATCAAAAAGTTATAATTACTGTATTCAATCAATGATTGATTCATGCAGGCATGTCTAATCGATGAATTCAAGTCAAACAAATAAAAGAAATGTATCATTGTTTGTGTTGTTGATGTTATTATTATCGATATAAATTTGTTAAAGTGAAACGGATTGAAATGAACGATTAAAACTGTTTTGAAATAATAAACAGTTTCTGTAATCCATTTTATTCAATTCAATTTTTGTTTATTCAATTAATAATTTCATGCTTATTCTGAATTATTCATGATTGTGTGTCACAATAAAACAATTTTTTCGTTTATTTTGTGAAATTTAATTTCTGTTTTGCTCATTGCTTATTTATCAATTATATTTTCGCCTATTTCAAATTTTTTTATTCTATTGTACAATTATCAAAAACTTTTTAAGATTTATATTTTTTTAAAGACATTGAGCAAACAAAGTTAATTGGATCGTTGCGCATGGACGTATTTTGTATTTTCATTTTTCTCTTTTACAATTTTGATCAGATATACGCTCGTTTTTAATTTGCTTTTGCATTAGTCATATTTCAAATGCTTTTCCATTAAAATGATTCATTGAAGATATGATGAGATAAAAAATTGTTCTTAATGGGAGAGAATAAAATTTGGGAACAATTTTTTTTCGATAACGAAAGCCAAAGAAGAAAGTAAATGGTAATGAGTAAAAATTCAGTCTTTTAATTAAATTTTTAATCCTTTACAAGTAATTTCATTAGCAACCGACAGTTCAATATTCCTCATCGATATTCATTATTCACTCAAATTGTTCAACGAGAACTGGAAGCATGAAGAATTTCTCTATAACTAAACTATTTTAAAAGAATGTATTTGTCATCAATTTCGCATTATAATATATGATTATCACATTATTTTATTAATTCGATTCTTTTTTGGTGCAAAAATTCATGTGTTATTTTTTGAAACAAAAAAACAGTATTTTGCAATAAATTTAATATTAATAAATCGAAATTTTTAAATGGCACAAATACACGATATGATATAATCATCCAAAATTTTAAAATAAGAAAAAACTGATCGACAATATTTTTTTAGTTGAATCATTTGCTGAAATGTAAAAGATGCAGACTGAGATACTTCAGAAATTTATATGAGGCAAAAGCGCAAAAGTTTAGAACAAGGTTGTCGATTAGCTGTAAAGTGTTATTTTGAAAGTAGCTAGCAAATCATTGGCAGTAATCATTTATACTGGGTTAGAGCTTGCAGATGGAGTTGCGGCTGCACCTGTTTTGTTTGGTGTGCTACTGCTGAGGTTGAGACATATGCGCTAGTGCTACTGCCAGTTAGCTATCTTCTTTCTACACCTTTCTTTCAGCCTAATTTCAGAATGAGCTACTACACTAAGCCTGAACTCTCCTTTCCATACCTCTCGAACTCTACTTATTGTATATATCAATTGTCATTAAATGACAGTATATTATCAGTAAGTGAGATATGTCACAGACTTTATTGATATTGGCGTAAGAGTAAAATATAATCTGATTTGCTGAAATAAATTTGAAATATTTTCGCCAGTTTAATATCATTTCAGAATTTTCTATTCATTTTGCTTAACTGTTAAGTTTGGTAAGAAAGAGAAATCAGATCAAATAAACTATTAAATGGTATTATCATTTCAAATATGCCATATTTGCAATTTGTATTGTATTAATTTAATCATTTTGATTTAATTTTTCTACTCGATCATTTTATTGTGTAAGATAAAAAGCTAATTATTTTTCAATTTTTGCCATAGCTTCAGTGAGTAACGTGTTATGTAATTTTGATCGTTAATTTAATTAGTTAAAAGTACAATTTTTTTTCGTTGAATGAATTATAAGTTTCATTACCTATTCAGGCCATTTAGATTAGCATTCTATTAAAGTTACTTAATTCCGTCAAAATTTCAAAGATGAATTTCAATTTTATTAAAAGCAGTTTCTCTTTTTCACCCTGATATTTTTCAAATATAATTTACTGTTTGAGTATGAATGCTTGCGCTTAACTAAATATCATTAATTAATTGAGTTTAAGTTTTTTTCAATTCAATTTATTAAATGCAATTTTTCTCCTACACTTGTCTCTCATTTTTGATATTATTTTAAAAAAAAGTTATTTTCGGTATTGTTAAAAGAATTAAAGTTTGGTGATTTTAAAGAATTTTATAACCAATCTTACAGACACTGTTCGCTTTTCTCAGTGATAAAATTTGTTTTGCATAATAAGAAGTTAAATTGAATAGAATTCATAGGGATGTCGCAGTATGAACCGTGGTATTTACGTCGAAAATGTCCAATATTTTTCTACCCATGCATACCTGTTTATGTTGGCGTGTGGCCAGCAAGGTCAGTAATATAACTTTTACAAGAATTACAGAAGATCATTTTTATAAACTTAAATCAAAAGATGTTATTTGCTATTTGCAAAAGACTTCAAAATATAAATAGGTGCTTGTCTAACTCTTTCACTATCAAAATATTTTTTTAAACTTTAAATTTTAAGTTTAAAATAACTTCTTACTACTATTTGGTGTCATCATATTGCAGGAGATGTGTGGTTATATTAGGTGCTATACTGTTTGCGATTGGTGTGATGATTTTACTTGGCTTATTACTTACCTGTATTGCTGTTGAATGCTCTGCGATGTAAGTTATTTTCAAAACTGTTAATAGAATTGTAGATAATAGCCAAATCGAGTAAGTGATAAGATCGTAACTTTTAGTAGCCGTAACATCTTTTAGCAAACAGGAAACAAAATCATAGTACTTCCCAGTAGCCAAAATACAACAGATGATAATGAATAAGATAATTATTCATTATATCATCTTCACTTTGAACCAACTGAGAAATAATTTTATCAATGATTAAATATACCAAAAGAAAAATTGTAATAGTCTTCCAATATCTAGTCAATAAATCTTCCGACTGATCAATCATTTATATGTGTCCGCAATTTGAATTTCATTGCTTTATCTGCTTGAATAAAACTTTAGAGATGTTTATTGATCATCACTCATAGAACAATGAATTACAGCGATCAGATTTCATGGGAGAAAGATACCAGTGAAATGAAATTCAAATTTTGATTTTGCACGCAAAAACACCTTCCCGATCAGTTACTTTCATCTTGCATACAATCTGAAATTTAAATTTCAATTCATTGATATTTTGCATGAGTTGAAATGTTCTTAATTTAATTGAGTTGTAAGATATGAAGCAAAAAAAGACGTCATCTCTACGAAATTGAGAATTTTAAAATTGAATCAAAAGTAAAAATAACTTGCAGCGTTAGTGCTTTATTACCGCTTGCATTATTATTAATTATTGTTGGTATACTAATGCTTCATTGTGGTTGGGCAGCCCATCTGCTCGAGGAAGGAGGCGCTGACGGAACACCGTAAGTGATAGCTCTAAAAAATACTTATTCTATCTAATTTTAACATAGTCAAATTAAACTTCACAGCAATTTATTACTTCTTTACGATATGATAATATTTACTTTCATTATTTCATGGTATTTAATTCTAGTACTTTTGCGCTTATTTCACGATAAATTCGGATCGAAAATTTAACTTCTCAGCGACTATTTATATTTTAGTGTGAAAGTGATAACAAGCGAGGAAAAAATTCCAAATCCCGATGAAATAGCATTGTTTGAAAGCACCTATAAAGAGCCAATACCGGAAGTATGTTTGAATTTTATTCAATGAAATTTTATGATTGAACTTCATGATAGAAATATATAAATTTATAAATGCTCAGTTCGGTTATCATAATTTTGCAGAACCGTTCAAATTTCAATAAATTGTCCAATTTTTATGTAAAAATCAAATTATGAATATTCCAGATTAGGCAAGGTTATTGGCAATTTGAAGATAAATTGGCATGGCAAACTGTCGCTAATCCATATCCAATACAGTAAATTTCTCTCTTCTTGCATTTATTCATAATTTTTTAAAATTATAGATGAAATCGGTGAAAATTATAAAAATAAATGAACTAATACATATTAAAACATCATTTTTATAGGCACACATTGAAAAACACGGTCGAACGTCCGGAATATTGAAATTCAAGAAAATGTTAAATTAAATGTTCAAATTAAATGAACAGGAAGAAGACAATAAAGTGAGTGGGAAATGGCCAAGCTATGAAAGAATTTTGTTCCTTGTCAGTTTTACATTTCATAACTTCTTCTAGTTTACGGTAAAAATTGAACTTATAACTCATCACCCTTTTTTGTATTAAAATAAATCTGTTTTCCTTCATCATATTTGATTTTACAGCGTGTATTTTAAGTAAAATTTCATTTTATGCAAGAAGAGAGCAGTATTAATTAATTATTGTTCAGCTTTGATGGATTTATAAAAAGAGCAATAAATTAAATTCATCAATTTTTTAAATTATTTATTCTTCATGTCCTTTTTTGTAAATAAGCTTTTCTCATTTGTTTAGATTGTTGTAATTCAGGTCAAAAAAAAAGGTTTTTTCTTTCCTCTCAGCAAGATGAATTTGTATGGCTCACAGCGATCTTTTCAAGAAAAATTGAGACGAGCGTTTCTCAAAAATTTTGGCCTTAATCGATAACTTTTATTTGAATTGTTTTTTGTATTTTCGTATGTTTTGCTTATTTTTAAATTATTTTTTGCATTCAATAAAATGATTTAGACGTGTATTTCAGTACTTTAGTGATTTTGTGATTTTGTTTTCTAATTTATGTCATAATCGTTGTATATGCCAACAAATCAAGCTTAAATGTGTTATCATCACTTATCAGTTAGCATTGCACAAATGAATGCACGGAGGAATTAATTTATCATTAATCGATCAATTTTGTTTAATGTATTTATTAATTCAAATTAATGATCTCTTAAAACGGTAAAAAATTATGCTTTGATTTTATTATTTCTGTCAATTTTCTGACAGTCGAGGAGATAGCAAAATAATATTTTTCAAATAAGGGATGTGAATAGTTAAAGTCATTATTTTTAAATTTTAATTTAGCTAAGAAGAGTTAAATAAAATATATTTTGGACCGTTGAAATCACACTAAAAATCATTGTATGCCTACTTCAATCCTCATTAAATGTTATCGAAAAATTTTGTTTCAGTATAAAATTTTATTCTACAGAAAATTTGAATTAAAAGACGGTAACAATAATTCGGTTTAATTATTGCGTTATTGCAATTCTTTGCATAATTTTCCTTCTCAAGTGAAAATTTCAAATTATTTAGGGCTAACATTTTAACTGCTTGCAGCAAAATATTTCATCCATCTTTTTTCTTTCTTTTTTGTAAAATAGCTGACCGATTAGAGATGAGAAAGAGCGGTAGCATTGTAATACAACAATTGAATTACAGTGACGAATGCCTGTCATTTCGGAAAATTGAAATATTGGGAAAGTTTGACTGCCCGCAATTGTTCATTTTACAACAGTCGAAATTCAATTTATCATTTCATTTCTTCTATCGTTGACAATTTACTCCTTTTCACTCATTTTCTTTCATTTCTTAACAATTCACTTCTTTCTTTGGAAAAATTGCGCTTTCAATTTCATTTGAACAACAGTTTGTTAAAACAGATGGCCTTAAATTAATAAAATATTAAAATATCATCAATATAATGAAGGAATGAAGTGATAAACAACTACTCGAATTATTTTGAAAATAAATTTTTCTAGCAAGAAACCGAAATATTCCGCATTATTTTTAACTTTTCTATATTTAATTACAATATTGCTAAAGTATATTTACATATACATATTTCATTCTATTTAACAGCTGTTAAACGATGTAGGGAAAATGTTCCACTAATCTTGTTAAAGCTATTACAATTACTATTTGCAACCTATCTTATTTCCATTTTATGTTAAATTGTTTGTTGTATGGCAAATTCGATAAACGATAAGATAATTAACGTAGTCTTTTGAATTTAGGCTTTAATGAAATGAAAGATTAGCGGCTATTTATTTTTGCAAATGTATTTTGGAAAAGCAGAATTTTGAGATAATTTTCCATTTTGTTGTGGATGCAGTTTAAGGATAATTTATTTTGAACGATTCAATTCTTATAATTCAAGTATTTAAAATTTTTAGATAATAAAAACATATAATATTAAGTGCACTGTGTAATTTTTCTTTTTTAGCTTAAATTTTGAGCGATATTTTAATTTATTGTCTGCTTTTCGTATGAAATACTAATATAGCGGAACTAATAATGTGAGAAAAATTTCAAGTAAACTAATTCAAATAATTACGCTAATCAATGTCAAAAATGTACAAGAAGCGCTTCGTACCATGTTAAAATCACAATGGTTGATTCTCTCTCATGTTATCGAGAATGAAGAATCGTAGACTTTGTTGCGAACCTGCGAATCTCTCTCCTTCTCTCTCTGTCTCTCTCTGTCTCTGTCCCCCTGTGATCGAATTGTTGTAAGTATCGATAATGAATAACATTGAATTGATAGGACGAATAAAGCCAATTAATTAGTCAAGGTGATTGAGTTATTTGTTCTTTGGGATACTGAACGATCTCAGATGACTTGTTAGTAAAGATGACAAGGGTAATTTTGTCATCTTTACTAAGAAGGACACAAATGTATCCAATTTCTCCGAAATACCATAGGCTTTCGTACAGTACTTATCAGGGCTTAAATCATTTACCCTGAATTATTTGAGATTTCTCAGTTAACGAGATACTGAAGAGATAAATGAATGTCAAATAGATGCAAAAAAAGCTATGAAACATCGGATAATAAAAAATATTCTATATGATTTTTTAAAATCTTCTAATTAGGAATGCAAAATTTCCCAAATGTTTCTAAGGCAAGACTAATTTTTATTTAAAGTTAAATTTCACAAAGCAACCGAAGAAAACAGTTTTAAAAGCATTTAAATTATTATAAAATATCATCTAACTTAAGACTTTTCAAAGCAATTTTATTTACATGACATTTTGATCGTAATTTTGTAAATTTCATACTTTCGATATTAACTATGTTTGAAAACGCACGCATTTTTTGCAATTTGCAGGTTATGACGAATAATTAATGTTGTTTATTACAGTAAAATTTAAATTATTATTTCTTCTTCTGAAATAACCGATGAAAGCTGTTACCGTGCCTAATTCGTCATTTGTAATTGGCACTGATGATCACTGCAAGTAAGTTTTATGCTATTTCAAAGGAATTCCTTTTCAAATTGCAGAACTTTCTTTTTCATTCATTAGTAAGTAAAATTTTAAATTACACCTTTTTCATTTTTTTACACCTTTTTTTTTGTCATAAAATTCGGAATGTTGTAAATCTTAAAACAAGAATGCCATATTCATTCATTATCATTTACCTTTACTTTTTCTAAATATCTTCAATTGTTATTTTTCCACTTTAAACTTTCCACTAAAATATTGAAATAGCTTTACGACATTTATTAACACGATAATTCAGAATCAATTACTACTTTGTATATATTATTTAAGCAAAAAAAGTGAAATTATCAATCTTGTGGTTGAAATGATCAAACCTTTATACACAATCTTTAGATTGGAGAGATAAACTGAAAGTTTTAATCTTGTTTTGACTGAATTAATATTATTTTACTGCTAAGAACTGCAAAAGCTTCACTTAATTCAATTTTAAATTTTTTTAAATATGGCTAATTATTCACCTTCCAAAATAATACTTTTACCTTCGATCCTTTTTTTATTAACTGATAATTATTATCATTATTATTTCTATTATTTTTATTACAGTTATTATTACTAATTATCTTGTTGAAATAATTGGATCAAATTTATTGGTTTATTAACTATTGCTTTTTCTTTACTAAATATATTTAATGTACATTAAATGCAATGAATAATGAATGTATTTCAATACTTACAAATTATCGATCACAAACATTCAGTTTAATTTACTTCATTAGAATTTAATTTAAATAGGATTAGCTGACAGAAGTTCTCTTCCTTAATGAATTTTTTAATTCTAAAAATTCAAATTAAATCTTGATAATAATAAATGACATCAAAATGCATTGTAGGTCAAGTTATGATGAATTGATTCGTTCAACTGTTGTGACGTTAAATGCCGATTCGTCCACCTCAATCAGTTTCATTGGTTATTTTTTTTATTATAGTTCAGATTTTTCTTTTATAACAAATCATTTCCAGTTCACTTAATTGCTATTTCACTTATTCTCTCAACGATTACTTTTAACAGTGAAATATGAAAGTTCAATTCTAATTCAGAAATGAATAAAATTAATCCGGAAATGCAAAGACCCACCGGACACAATCTAAAATTGTTTAAATTGTGTTCTATCAAAATCCATTATTGTTACACACAGCTCTTATAATTATTCTTTTCCCATTTTCTACTCAACAAATCGATTTTAACTACTTCAATTTCGTATGAATAATTTTATGATGTTATATGGCGGCTTTTAATACAGGAATTTTCCTCAATTTTTTTTTATTTAATATACTTCATTTAAATTTACTTTTTACTTAATTTACTTAAATGTGGAAATTCTACTTAATTTACTCGAATATCATTTCATCAAAAGTTAGAGGATGTCAAAATTAAATATTTGAATATGACCTATGCATTCGAACCTTCATCATTTAGTTTATTATCATAACAGTTCATTTTTCGTATTGAATTTGAAAATATTTTGTAGCTCTTAGAGCATTATAAAGAATCACTTAAATATGAATTTTGATGCAATTTTTTTTAACCTTAGGTGGCAGTTATCATTAAAAAATATTGTCAATTTGTTTTTTTTTTTTTGAAAAATCCTATAAATGGGACTTTCATTTTTAAAAATTTTAAATAAGATGAAATAGATCCTATAAATAGAATAAAGTATTTTCATCTGATCATTTTAAAATTCTATCTCGTTCTGTTGATAAGATCATATTTCATTT